CGGAAGCTATCTACCCCCAACGGGGGGGTATGACCGAAGAAGAAGCGGGCGGATATCGAGGGTTCGGGGTATACATGTCGGGCGACACGCGAGCAATGAAGAATGACCAGTCTTACATTGATTGCTGTCGTTGATGATGCTGCAGCTACTCATGATGATGATGATGATGATGATGATGATGATGATGATGATGATGATGATGATGATGATGCTGATGATGATGATGATGATGATGATGATGATGATGATGATGATGATGGTTGTGAGGTCGATGATGCTGATGTGGTTGTGCCTCATGAGGTTGATGATGTTGGTGATGCGTTTTTTGATTGACGCTTGCGACGATGATGCCTAGCTTGTGCATGAAGACGATTAGGATGATGAGGCTGAGGGTGTTGGCGCCGCTATTGCGCCCATTCCGCCTTTTCGATTGGAGTGCCCTTCCCCCCCGTGGGGGGGTCTCGGACTCTGTTCTTGCCAGGGAAGCTCTTCCTGCTGTAACTGTGGTTGCCCCCCCCATCCCGGCTGCAATCACACGGCTCCCGCTTGATATCCCCTCGCAATTCAAGCAGGGGCCCCCTCGACCCGCCCTCTAGGGTCCATCCGCCCGCTGCGCCCGCTGGGGTCCGCCCGCCAGGCCCGCCCTGTCGGGGTCCGCCCGCCCGACGCGCACGCCCGCATGGTTCCGCCCCATCGCTTGCTCGGAGCCCCGCCTGCTCGCTCTGGTTGGCGTCCTGCCCGCCCGACCTCCCCCGCCCGGTGGGGTCCGCCCGCCCGACCCGCCCGTCGAGTCCGCCCGCCCGATCCGCCAGTCCGGGTTCGCCTGCCAGCCCTCCCGTTTCTGATCCTTCCCCTCCTGCTAAGTCTCTTCCATGTCGTAGCTTCCAGTGGGATCCGTTCCCCCAAGGCTCACGGCTCATTCGGCGGGCGCTCGGCGACGCGCGCCAGGGTTCCAAACCCTATTCCCTGGTGGCCGTAGGCAGCCTGGGGACCTTCCACCCCGAAAGGAAGAGTAACGTCTTGGAGTCCCTGCCCCCTCCCCTCGCGCTTCCGCCTCCCTGCCTCGTTCTCTCCTTGTGCCGGTTCCCCTTCTGCCTCGCCAACTACACGTGGCAGGCGAATCAGATCTACGCCCACAGGGATACGATCGAAGACGAAGAGGGCGGGTATCGAGGGTGTGGAGGAAAACATGTTGAGTGATACGCAAGCAGCGAAGAGCGATCAGTCATATCGTAACTGTTGTTCGTGGCTGGTTTTTGTGATGGGCATGATGATGTGGACATTGCTGCTCGTGCTGCTTCGGATGATGATGATGATGATGATGCTTATGATGGTGATGCTGATGATGCTGATGCTGATGCTGATGCTGATGCTGATGCTGCTGCTGATGATGATCATGATGATGCTGAGGATGATGATGCTGATTATGATTATGATTGTGATGATGATGCTGTTGGTCATGATGCTGCTGCTGCTGATGCTGCTGCTGCTGCTGCTGATGATGATGATGATGATGATGATGATGATGCGTTGGTGATCATGGTATCAATCAGTGCGGACTCCAAATAGATCAGAAGACTGAAGTTAAGTGTGCTGACGTGAATTGAAAAGTTGCTCAGAGTGGTGTAGACTGGAGTGGACTGGGGTGAACTCTCCTCCAGTCTTCCTAGTCTACCGTTACTCTCCTGTGCTGTGGCAGTAGAACCCATTGCGCCCAGAAGAAGCCATAGTAATGTCAGGGAAGCCATTGCAAGCGGAGGAAGCCTTGGGACTCGTTTGGGCTCAATTGGGGGGTTGGGGGGGGGGGCAGTGGATGAGTTCTCTGTGGGTTGAGCTGGGACTCCTACAGGCAAGCTTCTCTGGAGCACGGCGGGGCCGAAGCGTACAATGATTCGTCTGTCGACCGCGCACAGGGGAGGCCGGAGCGTGGAGCGCGCGGGGGGCAGGGCGGGGAGGGGGCGGGGGAGGGGTCGGTCGAGGGAGGGAGGAGGACTCGGGAGACGTGGGTTTAAGTTGGGCCTGTCCCTCTACAGGGGGAAAATTCAAAAATAGTCAAATTATCCTGGCGAAGGGCCCAACCATACGCAATTCCGAATGCCGCCGTTGTAAGTATCGTCGTTGGTGGAACACCCGATGGGGCCACGAAGCGTGTGAGAGGTGCGCCAAATGGAGGTGGAACTGCATGCGGACCCTGCCACTGGGGCCTTCGGTGGAGCACCCTGTGGGGCCGCGAAACGTGTGAGGGGTGCGCCGAAATGGAGGTGGAACTGCATGCGGACCCTGCCATTGGCGCCCTCGGTGGAGCTCCCTATGGGGCCGCGAAACGTGTGAGGGGTGCGCCGAAATGGAGGTGGAACTGCATGCGGACCCTGCCACTTGGGCCTTAGGCGGAGCTCTCTATGGGGCCACGAAACGTGTGAGGGGTGTGCCGAAATGGAGGTGGAACTGCATGCGGACCGTGCCACTTGGGCCTTAGGCGGGGCTCCCTATGACGCCACGAAACGTGTGAGGGGTGCGCCGAAATGGAAGTGGAACTGCATGCGGACCCTGCCACTTAGGCCTTAGGCGGAGCTCCCTATGGGGCCACGAAACGTGTGAGGGGTGCGCCGAAATGGAGGTTGGAACTGCATGCGGACCCTGCCACTGGGGCCTCAGGTGGAGCTCCCTATGGGGCCACGAAGCGTGTGAGGGGTGCGCCGAAATGGAGGTGGAACCGCATGCGGACCCTGACACTTGGGCCTTCGGTGGAGCTCCCTATGGGGCCACGAAACGTGTGAGGGGTGCGCCGAAATGGAGGTGGAACCGCATGCGGACCCTGACACTTGGGCCTTCGGTGGAGCTCCCTATGGGGCCACGAAACGTGTGAGGGGTGCGCCGAAATGGAGGTGGAACCGCATGCGGACCCTGACACTGGGGCCTTCGGTGGAGCTCCCTATGGGGCCACGAAACGTGTGAGGGGTGCGCCGAAATGGAGGTGGAACCGCATGCGGACCCTGAACTGGGGCCTTACTCCCTATGCCTGGGGGCCTTCGTGGAGCTCCCTATGGGGCCACGAAACGTGTGAGGGGTGCGCCGAAATGGAGGTGGAACCGCATGCGACCTGACACTTGGAAGCTCCCTATGGGGCCACGAAGCGTGTGAGGGGTGCGCCGAAATGGAGGTGGAACCGCATGCGGACCCTGACACTTGGGCCTTCGGTGGAGCTCCCTATGGGGCCACGAAACGTGTGAGGGGTGTGCCGAAATGGAGGTGGAACCGCATGCGGACCCTGACACTTGGGCCTTCGGTGGAGCTCCCTATGGGGCCACGAAACGTGTGAGGGGTGCGCCGAAATGGAGGTGGAACCGCATGCGGACCCTGACACTTGGGCCTTCGGTGGAGCTCCCTATGGGGCCACGGAACGTGTGAGGGGTGCGCCGAAATGGAGGTGGAACCGCATGCGGACCTTGCCACTGGGGCCTTCGGTGGAGCTCACTATGGGTCCACGAAACGTGTGGCCATGATGGAGACGGCGATGATGATGACGACGATGGTGATAAGAACGATGATGATGCTGATGATGACGGTGACGATGACGATGATGATGATGCTGATGATGAGAGGAGGAGGAGGAGGAGGAGGGGGAGGAGGAGGAGAGGAGGAGAGACGCGGGGCACCGTCTCTTCAAAACGAGGACCCAACACCACAGGATGGTTGGGAAAAATAGTCTGGGGACGATGTTCAGGCATCATCATCATCATCATCATCATATATATATATATGTTCAGCCTGCGGCGACAAACAAACGTCACCGTCTCACCTTCCCCTCTTCCCAGTGCCCCCTCCCTCCCGCTCCTTTTCTGCGTTCTGCGTCTTTTCCTCTCACTTCCACTCGCCTCTTGCCGCTTTCCTTGCAGGCTCAGATTGGGAGGAGTATCCAAGGCCATGCGGGGAACCTGCTGGAAGTAACGATGCTGAGCAAATGCTATTCCATTCCTATGGTTATCGTCCCACTTCCTTGGGCGAGCTACCCTCGGATATTCAGCTGGCGAAGCCTTCTCTTGCCCAGGCTCCCTTCAGCTTCTCACCCAGAGGAGGAGTTGAGAACCCTCGTCTAGGGCACGGGCAGTGAGCTGGCCGAGGCTTGTTCCCGACCAGCCCGGGCAAAGCGCACTCAGCACATCGGCAGTGGCAGGACGTAGTGCCGTCTTCGCACTGCGTGCCTTCGGCCGGGCTGCCTGAGCCTGCCACATCAGAGGGTCGTCTTGCCCGCCCAACGTTTCGCATGCCCCCTAGCCATGGGTCACCCCGCTTTTTATGCGAACTTAGCCCAGACCATTCTGGCTTGTACTAGAGGCACTTTTGTGAAGTTGTCCCAGCAAAGGTGTGTAGTATCATGATGTGCCAACCTACTCTAGCCTTGATCACCAGAAAGAAAGTTTGAGCATCAAGAGAGCACCGAAGATGAAGAATTTTCACATGTCGGGCCCTCGGAGGCGGTACTCATTCGACACTGTTTCGATAGTTTTCTGGGTTCTCGAAATTATTTCTGGGATGTGGTCCTTAAGTACGATGGGGACAACAGAAGTGTCGTATCGTATGCTTCAGAGTGGGTTGTCTTGGGCAGTGCTGACACCTCGCCCCCCCCGCGCGCCCATCCGATCTCTTGGCTCGCGGCTCTCGCCGCCTTGCTCTCTTGGTCAAGTTGTGTGCCTTGGCTCCGCTCTCTTCTCCAAGGGGTGTCCCTTGCCTGCATCATCACCCGAATTAGGTTCACGTGCGGTCCTGGTGATCTGGTGGAACGTGCATCCATACGGTAGGTTCATGCGGCGTTGGCGCGCCGGCGACGCCAGCGAAGGCGTTCAAGGCTGAATTCTGCGACGCGGAAGCACCGAGGGATACGGCGACGCCACTGGACCCGACGTAACTCAACCTTGAACGATCGGGTCCGCGATCGGTTTGAGGCTGAACGATCGACGCGGTGTCAAAAAGCTCTGCGCGCGCCGACGCCGCACGAACCTATCGTACAGCCCCTGATCCGACCAGCTCATCTCCAGGGGGCCTCTGGCTCTTGGTGCCCACCTCTGGGGCCGCTGCCGGGCCACGCCCGGCTGCGGCCGCCCCGGGATCCAGCGAGCGCAGGCCGCGTACAACTGGGAGGACGACGTGCAGCTGCTCGTGATCAAGGACCGCGCCCGCCAAGGCCCCCCTTCCTTCCTCCTCCTCCCCTCCTCCTCCTCCTCCTCCTCTCCTCCTCCTCCTCCGCCTCCCGCCGCCTCCGCCTCCGCCGCCGCCGCCCCCTCCCCATCCCCCATCCCCCTCCCCCTCCCCCCTCCCCCCCCTCCCCCTCCCCCTCCCCCTCCCCCTCCCCCTCCCCCATCCTCCTCCTCTCCTCCTCCATCCTCCTCCTCCTCCTCCTCCTCCTCTCCTCCTCCTCCTCCTACCTCCCTCCTCCTCCCTCCTCCTCCTCCTCCTCCTCCTCCTCCTCCCCTCCCCTCCTCCTCCCTCCTCCTCCTCCTCCTCCCCTCCTCCCTCCTCCTATCCTCCTCCTCCTCCTCCTCTCCTCCTCCTCCTCCTCCTCACTCCTCCTCCTCCTCCCTCCTTCCTCCTCTCTCTTCCTCCTCCTTCTTCCCTCCTCCTCCTCTTCCTCCTCCTCCTCCTCCTCCTCCTCCGCCTCCCCGTCCACCGGGATTTCCAACGCCACCGGCTTGGGAGTATCGGTTCTGGCTTTTTGAGTGGCTGCCCACTCGCTCGCTTCGCTTGCCTTTCCATCCTGCTGCCTAGTCGCGGCCCGAATAGTGTTCGGACGGCTTTCGACCCGCCTCGCGAGCCTGTTGACCAAAAGTGTCCCCACCAGCCCAGTCAGAAACGTTGCCCATGAAAGGTGTTTGGGAACGGACGGTACACACATTCTTATTTTTCTTCTTATTCTTATTCTAATTCTTGTTATGACTCTTATTTCTTATCCCGATACTAATAGTAATAGTATTATTAGTATTGCTACAAGTCTTATCATCATCATTATTCTTAATATTACTAGCATCATTATTATTATAGTTACTATTGCTGTGCTAATGGTTCTGATTACCATTATGATTACGATTGTGATTATGATTGTGAGTATGCTTATGATCCTGATTCTGATTATGATTATGATTCTGAGTATTACTATTCTTGTTACCGTTAGCATTATCATTATTATTAGTATTGCTATTATTATTGCTATTATTATCATTAATATTATTACTACTATTATCATGATCATATCTATATACACATGGTAAAACGAGGTGTGCAAGTGGGAGGAGGTGGATGAAGCGTTGAACCCTTTTGGATGTTGTTTTGAAACATCGGATGCAGGATGATGATGACAATGTTGACAAGAACTCTTTGAGCCATCTTGGGGTCTCCTTGGGGCACCTTGGGGTCCTCCTAGGGTTGGCTTTTGGGTCCTTTGGGGTCCCCGTTGGGGCTCATTTGGAAGGCCCTTGGGTGTTCATAGGGCTCTGTCGAGGTGTCTTGGGGTCGAATTCTTGGGGCCATCTTGTAGGGCGTCGATCAAAAGAGGGGGTCTTCGATTTGCCTCACCACCTTCCAGTGCCACCAACATCGCCTTTTCGAGCGCTCTTGGGCCGATCTTGTTCGCTCTTGGGACTGTTTTGGGGGCCCCATGGGCTCCTCTCGGGGCTCTCTTGGGCCAATGTTGGAGCCTTCGTGAGGCTTCAGAAGCCGATCGGAAGCCAAAAGGAGAAAAGGCACTCGTCATCATCGATTGCCTGTAGGCTTTTGAAATGTTTTGGCTTTCGGGGGGTTCCGAGGGGGTTCCGACAGCTCTTGGGACCGTCTTCTGGCCCTCGTCGGGCCTTTGGGAGGTGTGTTGGAAAATATCTTGGACCATGTTCGGCTATCTTCAGCCATCTTGGAGGCCAGCTTGGAGCATCAGACGCCGTCTTGCAGCCATTTTTGAGCGAACAGCAAACCGCCTAACACCTCGTGCCCCCCCCTCCCACCTCCCAAGAAACAACCTCAGAGAGGGGAGGGGCAGGGTACCCCTGCCTGAGGGGAGGAGTGTTTTGAAAGAACTCGTGAGACCACTTACGCCCAAGAAGGGCTGGTGGGATTCATCGCGCGAGTCGGGGCTCGGTGGCTGAGACGTCGCTTCCGTGCTTTGTGTTAAGTCGGGCCTGTCCCTCTACAGGGGGGATGTTCAACAGTAGTCGCAACACACCCCGGGACATTTTTTTGACCATTTTGAACATTATTTTTGATGTTTTTTTTGTTCCCCCGAATTTTCGTCCAAAATCCGCCTGCAGGGGGACACGCCCGAGCTAAGCTTTGAGCTTTGCTCTGCCCTCCCCCAGGACCTCAACAGCGGCGTCGTGCACTGGGCGGTGCAGGCCGCGAGAGTCCCGGGGGAGGAGGAGGGGAGGAGGAGGAGGACGGGGAGAATGAGG